TTCCACTAGCCATCTGTTTTTTTAAAAACTTTCATTGCTTAGGATTTCTCTCTAAGACATCGGGGGGGGGGGGGGGGGGGCTGCGGTGTGTGGGCAGTGGATGGAAGAGAGTAATACTGAAAAGGACCAGGGATCCCTTCTGTCCTGGTGGACAGAAGGCTGTACAAAGTCACCAGTGCCCGCTGCCAGCCATGAAGGTGAACAGCAACAGTAACAACAGAGATGCAATCCATGGAATCAATTCCCTTTACTTGGCACTCATTAGACTGCATCCAGTTTTGGGTCCTGCAATACAAGAAACACATTGACAAATGGGAGTAAGTCCAATCAGTGTTTACCAAAACAGTCCAGGGACTGGAGCACTTCCCCTGGGAGGAGAGGCTGAATAAACTGGGCTTGTCTGAACCTAAAGAAGTGGCTTTGGGGAGGATCTAACAGCAGCTCACCGCTTCACCCTGAAAACAACCCAGCAGACAGTAGGTTTCCCAGAGCGGTTGTGCAGTCTCCCTCCTCGGAGGTTTTAAAGGTGCGATGGGAAAAGACCTGAGCAATTCAGTCTGAATTCAACACGGTCACAGCCTTCAGGGGAAGGTTGGGCTCGAGGACCTCCCAAGGTCCCTTTCAGCCTGAATGAGTCTGATTTGCGTTTGCTGCCTCTATTGCCGTGATGCCACTGACAAGCAATATCAGGTGTCGGTGTTGTAGGAACGTGGTCATGCCCTGTTCCTTCTGTTAAGCTCTGCTACCATTTCTATTCTCAGCAGTCTCTGCACTCCAAAGCAAAAGTGGTTCTATTTATATTCATCTCATAAAATGTTTAAAACATCAGAAAAAAATTGCTTACAATATGAAATGCAGAACTGAGGTGTAAAAAGAATATCAATGCTGCTCTTTTTCTGAGATCAGACATTGTTTTTCAGAGCAGCAGGTGGGCACAAGTCTTACTTCCATTAAGATGTTAAAGCCATAAGCTTGAATATGTTTTTATCAGTTTGATAACTGTTTTCATTGAGATATGTACAAGTAGAAGCAGGATTCAGATTTAGTTTGTGATGGTCAGGAAGCCAAGTGAAGAAATATGAAACATTTACATACTCTGATATTTAGTAACTGCTTGGCAAATTTAATTAATAGGATCTTGAAGCTACCAATTTCACAGATTGTTAGGGGAAAAAAAAAAAATCTTCCCAAATTAGTGGGAATTCAACAAAATTTGCACTGAAAAGCAATTATTAGATTTCAAACAATGCAACACATGGAAACCCCCTATCATGAAGCTCCACCCTCTGTCTTATGCTTTCTGTCCCCAAATCAGGACACAAATTCTGTTCACGACAAAAGTTTCTGAAATCAGCTTTTGCCCAGCAAGGAATTTTAATAGAAAATTAGTGTGTGGGAGGAAAAGCTTAAGTTAATAAGTATATCCTATTTATTTGTATTGTGGCATAGACAGATCTTGGAAATAATCTTGAAATCCATGCCATTTTAGTGCTGACAGAATTTTTAATAAAAAACATAGGACAGTTGAAGCTTCTTAGTCACATACAGCACAACTAAATCCAGTCCAACCCTACCAAAATAATGGTGTGAAATATTAATGGTGGTCATCTATTTTAGGTAAATAGCAAAATTAAATGTTGACCCTGAAAAGACAGATAGGGAAAAGGCCAGACACCGATGTTTGTGGTAACATGACACCTAGTGTTCATTTTCAGGAAGCTTCTCTATTGGTGGGTGCCAAATTTTGAAAAAACATCAATGCTCCAGGACTTGCTTTCCAAAAAAAAAAGTTAAATATTTACATTAACATCTCTATCCAAGTATCTAAATTACACAGAACTAGTGGAGAGAAAAAAAAATAAATAAAAAAGGAGGAAAGAAACAGAAAATCTACATGTTCTGCATTTCCTCTGCTTACTGAGTACTCAATGTGAGTAACTCCAGAAAAGAGCACTGTCCAAAAAAAGTTCCACATCATCTTTTTTCTTTGGGTTTCTGCCAAATAAAACAAAGTCTACTGGTAACTTCCATACACAGCCACAAAACACCTATTAGAAAACTGGGTTTACTACACATAACATGCACAAAAGAAGTTAAGAGAATAGTCCCTAATAAAAAAAAAAAAAAACAAAAAACAAAAAAAACCACACAACTAGTGGCAAGATTTATACACAGCAATGAGCTAAACATTTTTATTTCTTCATGTAAAATTCTGGCATATCGATGGTATGAGTGACTTTAAGGCTATCATGCCCTTTCATGCTTCTAGCAACACAATGAAAACAGCAGTATCTAATGCATACTAGATCCATGAGACCACAAAATCCACATAAAATCATGGCACAGGCACTGACATAGCAAGCAACAATTCCTAAGGGATTTGACCTCTCGAGTATTTTTGAGGGGCAAAGAGGGGAAGAATTATACGAGAAATCAGAACAAAAACTTCATTACAGATAGAGGAATCATATGCTCCTTTCTGAAATCAACTCAGTAAGATCCTGAATGAAACAAATATCAGAAATTACACTAACACTTTTTATTAGAAACAAGGTCTGACTGCAACTTCAGTTCCATTGAACAGAACATACACAACTGTACTTCAACAAATTTATAGATAGAGAGAAACATTCTTTAAAGAGCGTGTTACTGTTGAAAATACAAGCACATAAAATACATTAGTATTGTATTTCAAATCTATGCTGTCTTTAAAAGTATGCTGAATTACTTTCTAAGGAGCAGTATTTAATTGTCATCCTTCTGCAGAGAAAAAAAAAATAAGTACATGTACCTTGAAGTATTAAGACTGCCTAGCTACCATAATCCCAAACAATGAATTGGACTCATCATGCAATATTTAGTAGTTAAATGGTAACTAGTGTTAGTACATCTAATTTCTGAGAAAAATGTGCACAGACACAGTCAATGAACCAATATTAAAAGATGCATTTTTCTTTTAGCAAAGTAAACAAACCTAGATTCTAATACTGTTAAGGAACTCAAGAAGATGCAAGTCAACCACTTACCACATTGTTATTTGTAAAACATGTCCTTATTTTTTAATACATTTTGAGCATAATTCTCAGCAGAGGTTGAGTATGTGGCATCTCTGGGGCGCCATGCAGTTATTAACTCACCTAAATAAATATCTGCCATGAGACGTCCCTGTTGAACTCAAAGTCTATATGGCGGGTTTTTTTAAGACTGCATATGTATGCATTCTTTCACCCATGCACCTCTATTTAAAATACTCTAAAAGTTGTTCTATGTTTACTGGAAACATACAGCTTGGCAAAGCTTTAGATTCAAGGCAGTATTTCCCATTTAGGGTCCAGGTGATCTATATAACCACAAGCCTTTAGTTTCTACCACTCTTGTTTAAAAGGTCAGTTCACCATTCATTCAGCATCTAGTTTGGCCCCTGGCAGAAGTCCATGATATCAGCAGGAACGGCATGTCCTAATGGCCTCAAACATATACATTTAACAAAACTACAAGAATACCAGTCATAAATTTCACCTAATAATAGTGATTATCCCTCACCTTTAATGCCAAAATACTCTGAACTGCCATACAACCTACTCAGCTGTTAACATTTTAGGTAATTGCTGCACAGATTATTTTTGCAGTTCAGGAACAGGTTTCACAAATTAAGAGCTGTGGAACAGCTTTAAAACACAGAAGATTCTAGAGTAGGTTTAATTCTATTACTTCCTTTTGAACTACAGAAATTCTGAAAACCCAATGAATAAATGTTTGCATCTCTTCAGACACAATAGGAAGAGAGATGCAAATATACAGTGCAAAAGTCGGCTAGGACAAGACAAGTTTGTTCCCACAGATTTCCGTGCTGTTGTCATACATACTTCTGACTACCGGTAGCCTCTACCCTTTGCTCCCACACATGCATCTTCCCAATATTTACTCTCAGTCTTACGAATACAGAAGCTCCAAGCAGTTATGAATTCACTGAGGGGGAACACATCTTTAAGTCATTCTTCACACAGCTGAAAGGAGACACCTTCTAAAACAACACTCTGGATACAATATGAGGAAGATAACACAGTTTTTCTTTAAAAACTGCAAGGCTGTGGTCACAGAAATAGCTTGAATGGCAGAGGGGAAAAAAAAAAAAAAAAAAAAAAAGGGGGGTCTCTTAGCACCGGTAAACTCTTTTATAATAAATGCAATGACTAACTTTTTAGACAGTGACTGAAAAATACTGCAATTACACTCCAACAAAATAACTTTACACACCAAGCAGAGCGGCACGTTAAACCACCGCATCTGTAATGATTTTAAAAGCTATGCAGGGCATAACTACTACATTTTATATAAATCACAGACAACAGAGAACCGCCGTCAGAGGGCATCATTCATAAGTGATTTTCCAAATACGTTGCCATGAAGTAGCAAGTTATTTTCCAACTCCCTCACGGGCTTCTCTTAAAAGTGCGTGAGGTGCTCAACTCGCCGAAGTGGCCGAATTTTTTTCTGTCGGCACAGGCTTGCAGCTGGGTTACAAACCGAGCGATGCAAGCGCTGCCCCCGGGATACTCGACCTTCACACTGCAACCTGTCACGGCGGGTTGAAAATCGCGACCACGGCAGGCACGACCCCACCCCCACCCCCACAGCGCGGGGGACAGGTCCCGCTCGACCGCACTCGCACCGCCGGCGGCCCCGCGGCCGGTGTCGGGCTGAGGGGGCGAGGCGCGGGAAGGTGCCCGCCCCGCCTGCGGGAGCCGCGCAGAGCCCGGGCGGCCGCTGCCCCGTCCCTCCCGGAGCCCCTCGGCTGAGGCCGGGGTGGAGCGGTGGGACGGCGGCCCGACCCCAGCCCGCCGCGGCGGCCCGGCCTGCGCCGCCTCGCTTCCCGCTCCCCTCACGCAGGCGCCTCCCTCTCGCCCCTCCGGGCAGCGCCGCCGGCGGGACCCTCCCCACCCTCCGCCCCGCCGCGGGAGTTGGTACCGGGACGGGCTGAGGGGACCGCGGGTACTTGCCCAGGTGGGGACGAGGAGGCTGCCGGGGCGCTCGAGCGGTGCTGGAGGAGGCTGTTTCCCCGCCACGCTCATCTCCTCCCATGCAGCTGGCGTAGTCCTCTCAGACGGGCGGTTCGGCGGGACGCGGCGCCTCAGGCACCGACTCCCGAACGCCCGCCCCTCCCGGCAGCACCGGCGTCCCGGCTCCGCGGGGCAGCCTCGCGCCGCGCAGCTCTGCGCTCTCGCCCCGCGGCCCGGGCGGGGCGGCGGCACCGACAGGGCGGGCGGGGGGTGGGACGGAGGCTCGCCGGAGGCTCGGAGCCGGGAGGGGAGAGGAAGGCGGCGGAGCCGCGCTGGCTATTTAACTTCGCTCTTCTCCGGGGGGAAGGCGCCGCCGTTCTCCCTCCCCTCCCCTCTGCGGCCGCATCCCGCCAGCCGGGCTCCGGGCGCTGCTGCGAGCGCTGCCGCGCTCCTCCCCGGCTCGGCACGGCTCCGCTTGGCCCGCCCGGCGCCGCTTCCCCGCGGGGCGGCTGCCCGCGGCGAGGGCGAGTTTGGGCTACGGGCTCCCGCACCCTCCCTCCGGGGAGGGCTGTCGGGCAGGGGAACTTCTGCCAGGGGGAGGTGGGCGATGTGCCGGGAGGCTGCGGGGGGGGTGAGGGTGCTGCCACGCCAAGCGGCAGCCCCCCTGCCCCCTGCCTTGCCTGCGGGCCGCGCCGGGCAGTTGCGGTGGGCGGCGGGGTCACGGACCACGGGCAGACACGGCCTCATCCCCAGGAGAGGAAGGACACGGGATGCCCTGTTGGGCTCTGAATCACAGCCGAGAGCGGTTTGGCATCCCTCGGGTATTCTTGGTACACTTGACGCTGGATAACACAGGGCAATCTGTCTTTCGTGGGAAAAGTCCCCACCCCTGAACTTTGTCATCAGATTTTGCTCTTCGGTTGATCTTTGGCTTCCATTCATGTTCCTAACCGTGGCCTGGGCCATCAGTTTTGGGGAACTTATTGTAGGTCTATGGTGGCAATGCTGAAGCTGATCCTAAGGAGAATAGGTTCAACCTGGTCCTTGACATACTACTGTATTAGTGGACATACTCTTCTCAACAGAGAGAGAGGGAAAGCTCTTAGCTTTTCCCATCTGTTTATTTAAGAAGATAAGTATTTCATGCACATACCCTTCTTTTTCCTTACCTAAGTATAATTTGAAAAGACACCTCTGTTCCCTTTTGAAGTCTCTGCTTTGTCATGCAAGGATGAGAAGGTATCACACACAAATACCTAACAAGAAGAAAGGGTGAGTGGAGCTAGCCAGACTTTTTCTAAAGTTAGTTTTAAAAATTTTTCTCAACCTAATTCTACTGTTTTTTTGTTTTTTTTTTTTTTTTTTTTTTCCAAAATCTTTTGTAAAAACAGCACAAGAGTTAAGCAGGAAAAATATATGCATCATCTTCTACTTGGGGGTAGTACAAAACACTGCCTGCCACTGCTATATTCTACTGTAGTATGAACTCCTCTCTCTCTAGGTCTCCTTCTGACCTTTCCATAAACCATATCTTAACACAAGCAACTGCTGCTTGCCATCTCTGTCTATTGATTCATCTTTGCATGTACCAGAGCCCCGCAGAAGTTGGGGAGAGGTGGACAAGAGGGCAGTTTGCTCTGTGGGGTTATGGAATTCCAGTTGTGCTCCAGAGGTGCCCAGGGCTCTTTGTCTGTGCCCAAGTTGTTTTATTTGCCATGCTCAGAGGCTTGTATTTTGCCATGCAACAAGAAGTCGGTGCCATTCTAAAGAGGTGGAGCTTGTACTCAAACCAATCTGTCCCAATCCATTCTGTGTGTAAAAAAGCCATTTATCTTGTTCCATGCCCATAGAAGAGTGTGTGACAACACACTGGCAGTGTGAAATGTTAGAGGAGATGAGTCTGGGCTACAGACTAAGATGACCATACAAACTTATGTACCCACAGAGTGTGCTGGCACTGTGAGAGGTGCAAGTCTTTCTGCTTAAAGACAATCAAGGAAAGCAAAGCCACACAGATGAACTTAAATCTGTTTGGAGATGGATTTCTCCAGGCTCTAAGGGCTAGGAATTGCCAGAAACCAGAAGATAACAGCAGCTGTCCTGATGGGTATTTGCTAGTATGGATAATAGTTTTGCTGTGATTGCAAACTTGTTATCATGTCCATCTTTTCTTCTTATGGTTCTTCTTCATGCTCTCCTTTCATAAATATGGTGCATAAGTGGAGATTAAAAAGTGGAGATGCAAGTTAGTGTAAATACAAAATAAATGTCATAGCAATATGGTAATATACATGGAATATATATATGGGAATTGACTTACAGAGATAAGGAGAACAGAAAGCCTTTACTTTTTAGAAGGTTTCTATTTATCTACAAACTGTACTTTTGAAACTTAAAAATCTTTGTCAATTGGATATAATAAGCCTTGCACACAATATATAACTTCCTGAGAAGCTTATCTTAACATTGACAGTTGCATAATTGATTTATGGAACTCACTGAAAACTGGATAACACCAGACAGCTAAGGAACTATTAATGCTTAGTTCTTTTTTGATTTAATGAGTACACTTCACAAAATCATATTCTCCTGTGGTATTGGTATGCCGAAAGTAAGTGGTTACATGTGATTTGGGGGAGGATTAGGAAGAAGTAAATTCTTTATTTTGTACATAATTTGAGTTAAGCCAATTTGTGATAGTCTCATCTAATAAATTTCTTTATTTCAAGGGACAATTGGGTTTAATAGCGTAAGAAACCTATGAGCTTTTGGGGAGTTATTGCCGCATTCAGTTTGTTACTACTGAAAAGCTTATATGCATTTCTTCCCTTTCTTCTGTTCATAATTTTTCAGTTTCACTGCATTCCTGATCCTGCAAAAGGTTTTGCTTTTGCCATTCCTGAAACATAACAAATGGAAGATAGCTGTCAAGTAGCTATTTTAGTGATGACAGATTTTATTTTTCTGGATTGCATTACATCCTGTAATTTGGAATAAGGTAATTATTTGAAAATTTCTAGCCCTTGACATTTCATAAAAATCCACAAAATATCCAGAATGTAAATGCACAAAAAGACAATTAGTCAAGAGAATACTGAATGTTTTCAATAACATATCACGATTTTAAGTTAAACTCATGATTTTGGGGTGTTACATTAGATAATACCCATAAAGTGTCATTAAGATCAGAATTGGATGACAATAGGAAAATTGAAAATTGTGAAAAAGACTTGAATAAAATCAGCATTCATGAAAATGGGTGTGAACTACTGAATTTGGAAGAGATCATATTACAGACCTATCTTTATTTCCTTCTGTTTTCATAGATATGCTTGCATTCACACATACACACCCAGAGATGATACTTGGCTTAGTGAATGGAAACAGAAGACTATTACCACTAAAATAATAATTTATTTTACTAAGCCAAATTGGTGTCAAGGTTAAAGGCTATTAAATAGAAGTGGATGAAAGAGTATAACTAGATTTTCCAGGAAGTGAAGGTATGTCGTATGCAGACATTGCAAACATTTCTCTGCCTATACAAAACCTTTCACATAGCTATAAAAGTAATTTTCTTAATATAAACTCTAAAATTGGCAGATGTTCCAGTTTTAGTTTTTATACATTAATATTTGCTGTATTCATCAGGAAAGGGCCCTTTTGCAAAACTTAATTGCTTTGTGAACTTCATTTTACTTAATATTTTACTACCAAAATAAATACTCCTTCATTTAATTTTGTGTTGTGGGAAGAGATCAAAGCTATAGGGAAGTAAAGCACACTTTTCTAAAGAATACAAGTTAGAAGTTTCTGCCTTGGAAATCACATGTAAGGCGAGGTAAAAATGCCACTTGTCCCATGGAAACTGCTGCCTGTCTTGATGAGGATCTGCCATTGAACCACCAGTACCCCACAATTTAGAAGAAGGAGTAAGGAAGACACTAGTACACTGACAATCACCATTAAACCCCTATCTCAATCTACTCTCTGCTTTCCACTTTTATCGTGTATTAAGGTCATAAGCAGGGGGCAAATTACAGTGAGTAGCAACTTGACAGCCCATCAGAGGACAGTAATATGACTGGGGCTGCTTAAAATATACAACGATAAATCACTGAAATTTCACAGGTGTGTTATTTTGCTTCAGAAGACAAACACTTCCTTGCTCTCATGGATCTGTAATGTGCATCAAATACCCTGTAACTCACTGTCCCAGAAATTTCCTCGGTTCATTGCATAGGGTAAGAAACTGTAACTACATACGGCAGTAGCAAAATGGAATGAGGCAGTAAAATTATCCGTAACATCAAATGAAAGCAGGAGGCTGCTGTACTTCAAACAAACAAAAGCTTTCTTTGAACAACTGTTCAGTAAGAAAGGGTGATTGAAATAAGCACCTCATGCTTTTACGGCAGTCGAGTTGAGCAGCAGGTGGAAGAGACGGTAAGGAGGTTTGCAAAACCATCCCTCCCTGGTCCTGACCCCCTCACTGAGGCACAGGTACACCTTACCAGAGCACCCCACTGCCATAGTCAATCACTGACTAACTAGGGCAAACCAGCACTGTTTGGGTTGTTGCTATTGCAGGGGTGAGCATTGACTGCATCAATCAGGAGTTCAGCATCCCAGGCTATTCAAGAGAGCAATTCACCACTGCTTCCCTGAGCAGGTTATTATGAAAGATGATAAAAAAAGGCTTTCTGAACAACTGGATATCTGAAAGATGTATTCCCAGCAGGTGTTTATAGAGGGATATTGGACTGACCAGTATGTATTCTTACTTCAAAATCAAAGAATTTTGTTAACACTGAAAACGTCAGTGTGGACTTCCAGCACTCATCACCAGCTGAGGAAAAGAAGCAAGTAGCAAGTGGCAAGCAAGTGGCAAAATGGCACTGTGGAACTAAGCAGGATTTTAGTACTGTTTCTTGCAGCTGCTGATAAAATACTTGTTCTTAAGCACTCTTTTTTTACTTGCTTGTCCTTGAAATCTGCCTTGTATTACCAAACGGAGGAGCTGATGTTCTGCAAACTGTAGTGTTTTGTGTGTGCTGGTTCTCTACAGACAGCAGCATGCCAAGATGTTCTGTGGAAGCTATGCCAGTATGCAAGAGGGGGTAAGGTATTTTGTGGCCAAAGAAAGCACA